GGACAGGGGTACTGCGTCATAGTAACACAGTTGATCTTTATTTTTAGCAAAAACCATTAATCATTATTTGATATATTAGGCGATAACATATATGACTTAATGGACCGAAACGTCTTATCTCACTCTTACTTTCTTTTCTCATACTGTTCTTTCATGCTGTAATCTATCGCCCCTTCGCCATTTTTAGGCCTCCAAGGTCAACCTGGTTGCTATAATCGGCTTATTAATAATTGAATGATAATAATAAAAGTGATAATCATAGCAACAATAATTAGGATTAAAATCTTGAAATAATTAAACTGTTTGTGATCAATTTTGAATTTGTGAATTTTGTCATAGTTTTTGAAAAAATTTTGATATTTCTTGAATTTTCTATGTTTTTTTATTTTTCATATTTGTGCCGACAATCTTTTATTTTGTTTTAGGCTCTGCACTATTATGTTTTGCTATTTTGGCAACTTCTGTGGCATGGCTTTTGGTGGTTTGGCGTCGTTGTCGTAAAACTATTTCGCTGCGAGAAATATCTCTTTCAAAACGTGCTTCGGTTTTTTTGGTTTATACCGATGATTGTGATGCTCATGCTGCAGCTGTTGCCACACTGGCCGAATTACTCAAAAATTATGCGAATGCAGATGTGTTCCTTGATCAATTTGAATTGAAATCTGCAGGTAAGATCCAGGCAAATTTTCCATCGTTCCATGACTGGCCACTTTTGGGCACTAGTATCACAGGGAATCAGTAAAATGTTAGGGCCATTAGATGGCCGAATGAAAAATGGACGGTCCAAGTGAGGCGCAACTGAACTGGGGGTTAAATCGATAAAAATTTTTCTGGCCGTTGATAGGCCGAGCCGAACGTTTTGAAGCAGTAGCCAGTCCGACCTATGGAAAATATGGAACGGCCGGAAGCCATAAATTTTAAGTTAGGGAGGGAAGGGGGAGGAGAGAAAGGGGGGAGGAGGGGAGGGATGAAATTTTACTTTTCTAATTTCACATTTTGCTAATATTAGAGTTTTTGTGATGTATAATTGGCTGTGTTACAGATACAGTTCCAGCAAGATGGTTCATTGAGAAGTTGGGAACAGCCGAACACATCGTTCTGATTTTTTCCGAAGGAACCAGTACCATTCTGGGTGGACGAACTTTGATCCAGCGGCAGCCATTCCCGGAATTTTTTCCTACTGCTGTCAATTTTTTAATCTCGGTGAACCGATTTTTTAATTTTTTAGTATTCATTCGTCCTCAAAGATATTGAAAATCAACAAACTTAGATCCACGAGCAGATCCAAAAGCATTTTTGCTGAGTTTGCCAGAAATAGTAATAAATGGCCAACGCACGGGCTGCCCGTGCGAAGATGCGTTTTTTGCAGAGTTCCCCGCAGT